AGAGAGGGAGGCACGATATATGACCAACAGCAACAAAACATTTTTTCTGTCGCTGTCAAAACCACTGGCGAATTTCCAGACCCTAAACAAGAAACGGGAGGAGGAGGAGGGGAGGTAAGAGAGAGGGGAGCTTGGTGGATGGGGAGAGGATAAGGAGGAGGAAGAGGGGGAGGGGAGGTAAGGGAAGGAGAATGGAGTTTGGTAGTTGGAAAGAGAAATGAAATTGAGGTAAGGGAAAGAAGGGAGAGTAGAGGTTCGTGGTGAGAGAAGATGAGGAAGAGGAAGGGGAGGAGGAAGAGGAAGAGAGGTCAGGGAGGTGAGGTGAAGAAGAGGACCTTGGAGGGAGAGGGCGAGGAAGTTATAGGAGGAATTGAGAGGCATCTACGAATAGGGAGAGGGAGGGAGAGAGAAGTAAGGAAAAAGGAAAAAGAAAAAGAAGGATCAGCTAGAATAGAATAGGATAGGAAAGGATAGGACAGGATGGAGATGTGAGAAACAGGGGAACTGAGACACATATGGGTGGGCGCTGCTGCTGGAGAAAGCGAGTTACATTACCGACACAAACCTTCTGAGTTATGACACCTGGAGGCACCCATTCTCTCTCTCTCTCTCTCTCTCTCTCTCTCTCAAGACAACAAGGTCATAGATAAGGGGAGACTGTCTTATCGCTGATATATGTGACTTTTTTTTTATTGATAATAGACAATGATATAACGATAATAATAGATGAGTTACTTGTCTTCGTAAGGTTAAAGGGAGATAAGATAGTACTCGACCATCCATCCCTATAGACCATCCGCACCTCCCTACCAAACCAGTCTTCGTAAGGTTAAAGGGAGATAAGATAGTACTCGACCATCCATCCCTATAGACCATCCGCACCTCCCTACCAAACCAGTCTTCGTAAGGTTAAAGGGAGATAAGATAGTACTCGACCATCCATCCCTATAGACCATCCGCACCTCCCTACCAAACCAGTCTTCGTAAGGTTAAAGGGAGATAAGATAGTACTCGACCATCCATCCCTATAGACCATCCGCACCTCCCTACCAAACCAGTCTTCGTAAGGTTGAAGGGAGATAAGATAGTACTCGACCATCCATCCCTATAGACCATCCGCACCTCCCTACCAAACCAGTCTTCTGTGGCTGGTGGCCAACTCAGGGTCAATCATAACAGAAAAATTACCCTTACATACACTCTCCTGATATGGGACCGAACCGGCGTCTCTAGGGTAAGGTGTCGAGAGAGTATTACCAAAGAGCCAACATTTGCGTCTGTACTGTATGTTAAAGTGTACTTCTGTTTTCTCTCTCTCTCTCTCTCTCTCTCTCTCTCTCTCTCTCTCTAAGCTGTTCCTGGGTACAACACAGCGCACCACAGAGACAGGCCCACACACACACACACACACACACACACACACACACACACACACACACTGTTATTAGCCGTTTCATCTTTTTCTTCAACACAACAATTCTCTGTTCCTTGTATCGCAGCTGATGTACCTTAAGTGAGCCATTAAACGCTGACTGGGAGACAATAAGTGCTGGCCTGGAGGTAGTTGGAGCCATCATGAGCCAGACACAACAACAACAACAAGCTAAAACGAAACAAAATGAACAAATATCAAGACATCAAATGACCTCATCTTAAAATTTTTTTTTTGTTTATTTGTTTACTTGATTGTTGGTGCGGTAGTGTTTTTGTTTTGTGAGGAAAGTGTCTGGTTGTGTTGTTGTTCTAAATGGATGTTTTTGTTACATTAAAAGTTGTTTTAAAGACTCTAAAACACTGAAACAATTACACGCATACAACAACAATGAACAACAACAACAAACACTACAACACTAAACAACAAAAACCACATAAATAACCTTCCCAATTTTCTACAACAACAACAACAACAACAACAACAACAACAACATTAATCTTTCATCTCGTTTAAAAATTACAAAAAATAAAAATAAAAAATATTAAAAACAGCAAATTCAAGCCAATCCTATTTACAGTAACCTACAGTATTGTTCCATTTATCCAAAAATATTCCGTAATTGGCAGAGCTGGATTTTGTATTATTCTGTATTTTATCTTATTTCAATAACATGTACCAGTAACTATTTCTTTTAACAGGACATAAACGTATAAACAATGCAGAAAACCTGACCTATTTTGCCTCGTTATCAAGCCAAATTGTTTTCGATATCTCAGCGCTAATGCTTGTTTGTTCGGCTCGTGTTTTCCTCGCGTCCAGACACTCATACAAAAAGGCATAACAGATATAATTTGTCCTGCTTTTTTATTACACTATTTTTATTATTTTACGATGGTGTTCTCGTTCTCACATTCAACAAAAGCTTTGGTATTAGAGATGATTTTCAAGATAGATGATATTTTGTTTTTGTTTTTCTCTCTCTTCTAATTTAATAAAAGTTTGTAAAAAAGGACAAATATTGTTTACCTTTTTTTTAGGAAAACAGGTATTGTAATGGTACGTCTG